TCGCGAGGTGGGACTAAAAAATAGCTTACTAAGAAACTGTAGTACTGGTTCATCCATAAACCGGTACTAAAGGTGCTCGTGCGGCCCCAGCTAGCCTTACCTGACACAACCTTATTAGTACCAGTTCGTGGCACGAACCGGTGCTAAAGGTTCGCCACGAACCGGTACTAAACAGCTCCTCCCGCCTAGCAGTTGGTGCATACTGAACGCAAAAAATATAAGAGCATTTAGATCCTGATCTTACATTTCTTTACAGTCTAAATTGTCAAATGATTTTATAACATCAAAAATACTTTGATCATCAATGATCTTTGTGTGTACAATCTGAATTGTCAATATGAGTCATCAACGATTTATAAACCGATGAAGACTCATATTGCGGCCACAAATTCTACACATAGAGTTCAATGAAGACCAAATGCTTGTGATAGTTTGAGAAATAACATATTTAAGGTGGTAAAAGGCTTGTTAGGGGAGCGAGGTGGGACTAAAAACAGCTTTCCATAACCTCATTAGTACCGGTTCGTGGTACGAACCGGCGCTAAATGGTGATGGTGGGGCCATAGCCTGACCGCAGGCTGACACAGCCTCTTTAGTACCGGTTCGTGGCATGAACCGGTACTAAAGGTTCGCCACGAACCGGTGCTATTGATCGCCGCCACGAACCGGCACTAATGTACACATTAGTGCCGGCTGAAATTCAAACCGGCACTATTGTGCTTCACATTTGACCCTTTTTCTACTAGTGCATGGGCTGGCCAGGCCCGAACCAAAGCCCTGTTTTCTACTAGTGACACCATGCAAAGTCACATCCCTTCTGAAACTTGTTTGCATGTTATTTCTTACCGAAGAGTGTTTTGCCCCTTTAAGAGGCCAGAAAATTAGTTATTGCTTTGAAAATAGCAAACAAACTCAAATAGTTCTAAAATTTGAGCATGGGAATTCCAATGGTGTGTGTTAGTCATATAACAAGTTTGAATTTGAAACGAGTTAAAAATGGAGTTGTGGGTGGCAGTCGGCGGTTTCCGTTCGAAAGTCTCATACTTCATCGGAGAGTTTTCAATTTTTACACGAGGTGCACCATGTTTTTGCTGTAACGCTCTCAAATTTTTACCACACCCTACATGGATGAGATGAAGACACCATGCAAAGTTTCATCCCTTTTGGAACTCGTTTGCATGCTATTTCTTACCGAAGAGCGTTTTCCTCTTTTAGTGGCCGAAAAATCAGGTAATGCTTCGGAAAAAAATATTCACTTTGTCCAATGTCAAGAAGCTGCTAGGAAAGATGTAGAGAGAGCCTTCTGTGTGCTTCAGAAGCACTTTGCAATTGTTTGTGGTCCTGCCGAGTACTGGAGCTCCAAGGTTCTATGACAGATCATGACTTGTTGTATCATATTGCATAACACGATCATTGAATATGAGAGGTATATGCCTGAGAACTTTCGTTCCATCACCAACGGAACTCTGGTTGAGTCAGCGTATCAGCTCCAAAATGATCTTATTGAGCATCACTGGTAACATCATAGCGCTTCCTAGTTGTTCTATCACAAGTTAGTTGCTACATTTGGACTATTCGTTGTGTTTAAATTTGAATAATTCGGTTTGTAAACTTTGAATTCAGTTTGTAAACTATATTCGTGATTTGCTTGAATATTCATATTTATGTTTAGTTTCTATATTGCTAGTATGTAGTTGGAATGTATACTAGAATTGCATAAGTTTAGAAAAAACAAAAATTTACTCCGTATAGAGGATCAGCTAGGTCTGGCCAAATCTTAGTGGAGTATTAGGTTTACTCCTTCCTCATTTATTTTTAGGGGGTCGGTTAGAGTTGGACTAAGAGAAGGCATTAGCGAATAAAAAAATCGCACAAATCTCAGCATAGTATCCAACTTGAATGAAGCCCCAAATAATTTTAGTTGACTGAAAAATAGCAATTCTGTTTTCTATAATTTCACTGATAACTTCACCAATACACTGCAAGGAAAGATAGCTTCGCAAATAAACAAATGAAAATTCTTCTAAAAAACAAATGAAATTAATCTTTAACCTATGAACATTTCAAGGGCTCAAATTCACAACGGTTCATATAGCTACAATATGTAGAAGCTTGTCTTGTGGGAGCCTAGAGCATGAGCAAGGCCGCAGCGAGCGCGGTGACCGCGGCGGCCCTCTCACCAAAGTGCGCCTGCAGCTTGCCAGCAGGGTTGGTCGGGGCAGGCCGGCGAGTCGGCGCAGCGGTGTCGAGGACGATGATCTTGAGCTTCATGCCGCTCTTGTAGTGCGGGCTGACGCCGCAGAAGAACCACCGGCGTCCAGCCGTGTCGAGCGCGAGACGGTCCTCGCCGGAGGTCCTGACGACGGCGCCGGTTGTTTTTTCTTACAATGTTTTTTCTTCATTTCAGGCTCACTGTTTCAAATTATGGCACAATCGCAAAGGGTGTTGCTTCCATAAGCCATGCCCATCTACCGACTAGTTGCCAATTTTCCGTGGGTTTCTGAGAGTTTTATTCCGGTCCTTTCCTGGCTTTTTTGTTGTCCGATTCTATTACGGTTTCTTTTGTTTTTTTCTTACATTTTCCCTTTCCTTTTGATTCTGTTTTTATTTTTTATTTTTTGGTTCAGTTTCTTTTATATTTTATTTCTTCCGGTTTTCTATTGTTTTGGATTTTCATTTCTATACAAAAATATCCATCCACTTCTAAAAAATCTTCACAGTCACTTTAAAAAGCATGGTTTTTAAAAATATTCACGGACTAAAAATATAGTCATGGTTTCAAAACATGTTCATACAATTTAAAAAATCACATTGTTTTGAAATGTTAACACTTTTAAAAAAATCCACAAATTTTAGAAAATGTTCAGATTTGTTAAATTATGATACTTTTTCAAATAATGATATTCATGTTTTAATGAA